CCCCCCCCCACACACACACACAAAAGAGAGAAACAAGCATTTTTCCTACTCCTCATCTTCTATTTAATATTTGCAGAATAAAGCAAGCTCAAATGTGTTTCATTGTCTCTCCCCCCCCCCTTTAGCAAAACCTCAGATCAGCAGCAACTTGAAGAGACTGTTTACTATTGACAATTGCACGGATAATTTATTATTAATTAACTCTTAACATAGTAACTGTTGAATTTTTGTGTCAAAGTCTTCGTCTGCACTCTCTGAGCATTTTTCTTATAGCAGAATGAGGTTATATTAAAAGAAGTGGGCACAAAATACGCACTATATTGTAGCTTTGATGTTGTGTATTCAAGCTCTGACACTCTTGACATTGATTTTTTAATGCGATGCAGCATTGTATCACTTTACAATCCTCAGCTTTACTCTGGAGGTGCTGGTCCATTAGACTGAAGTATGATTTATGCTTTTTTTCAAGGCCTGCTCTCAGATCAATTTTTGCTGTTATTAATAAGCTTTTCTCAAAAGTTTGCCATAAATTCAGTATATCAGTATTGTTGTAGTTTGAATAGATAGAGCATTGTAATATAATTCAAAATATTTGATACACCATCCCTCAATTTAGAAATCAGATATCTGTAATGTATTTACTTTGTTTGATTTTTTGCCTCTTTGCTGTAGGTCTTGCTACAATAAAAAAGGAAGTATCACCAGTCATTTTAAGTCTTGTCTCGGTGCACAAACTAAGAATACAGATTATTTGGTGAATTTCTTACTTTCACAAGTATATTTGTATGTTCCAATTACATTTTTGTAGATGGATAATGGAATGTATATGTAGCTCAATTTACTATTTTATTTTTCAAGGAATGCATTGCACCATGGTTATAATTAATAGAAAACTTGGCTATCTAAGCAGTGCATTAATATATAAAAAAGTTTAAAGTACATTAATTTTCTTGGTTTTCAAATATATTGCCATCATTCATTTACCATGGCAACTTCTAATAAATGAAAAATAACCATGCACATTTGGATAAGAATTGGCAGTCATTTCATAATTGCAAAATAGGGACAAGAGCACCTTGGTATCTCCAGTTTGACTATCATGAGACAAGGCTTAATTTCAGCAATCTGGATATTGTGGTAAGCATGCAATTATTATGAAGAGGCTATGGGCAGGGGAGAATGTTGAGGTGAGAGCATTTCTATTTTTTTTTTTTGGGGGGGGGGGGATGCCCGTCAAGAAATTGGAAAGACTTCTTGTGCCACTTGTCCTCCCTCAGTCCAATCATTTAAAGATGGCAATAACAAAAATATACCTTTCTGTGCATATTGTAGCATTGTTACTTTTAGCTTTGCAGAACAAAATCTTATACTTGTCTGAAAGATAAGTATTTTTGATGTGTTTAAAAGTTTAGATTTAGCAAAAATAATTGCAACCATTTGGCTGATGATAATATTATTCTGGAGGTCTAGTCTTTATCTTATCTTTACCCCTGTAATGATGTGTGTACAATCTGGAATGAAGGACTATTTTTTTCATATGAATGTCCTGGGTACTGGATGTGAAATGATTGTGTGAGCTACATGTAGGGGACTGTCTGTGTGGCTTTGATTCTGCACCCCCAGTAATGTGAAAAGAAAAAATAACTTGTCCAGCAGTATTGATTAATTTGATATGAAAAATGTTAAAATATGTTAGAATATCAGATTGAGTTTCAATTATCTCATCGTGTGGTGCATTTCAACAATATGGATTTATAATGTAGAATTTCTTGTGGAAAACATGTATTTAATCACCTTGTATCTATAGTTATTTTCACTTTAAGGCTCCCTGTTTCCCATAATTCATTTAAATTATTTGCAAACATTAGCATCAACCACCTATTTACAATGGTAAAAGATTTTAACGGATATGCCTAGAGCGTTGTGGGTATCAAGTTTGCATGGTGGTTGATGTGCAGTAATGTTGGTGGTTGATGTGCAGCAAAGTGTGTTGTTTAACAGCCTGATGACGCTTTAAAAAATTCAAGATGATTTTCAATTTGGATCTTGCCACAAACATTTGAACAAGAAAAAAGTGTTTTTAGAAAAATACAAAAAACCCTTCCTGTTAGCTTGATAATAACTATTTAATTTAAAGCATTAATATTTTTCCATTTTGGTATCAACTACAGACCTGTGCTGATGCTCCACAAATTTAATAATTTTTGAAGATGTGGGATAGCTCCCTTATTTAAATATGTCTTTAAGATGGGAAATATGTATATATGAGCAAAAAACCATGATATATAGATATGGCTATGTGGAATATTGGTGGGTTGTGCTAAATATTGTTAGATGTGTGGGAACAGTGTACCAAGGCAATTAGCTGGGAAAATGTCATTCAGATGAAAAGGATGAAATATAGATCTTTTGTCACAAACTTAGAAGAAAAAAATTATGACTAAAAAAAAGGTCATGGCATCGCCTGGCTCCATCAGTCTCAGTGTGGTACAAGTGGCATTGTGTCACTGGTCCAGAGTACTCAGAGCCAC